ATAATACAAATTGCTACATTATACTAGGAGATTATGCCCTAGTTTTGAAAAAAAATTTAACTCCAATACTAAAGCTTGAGAATCTTAAATCTCTGAAGATACCAAAGGAAAATTTACACTAATCTCACCATTTAACAGGTGGGGATGCTGAGAGAAGGCAATTCTCATACAGTTACACAGCAGGTCCCAGTGTTAGGACTGTGCTGGAATTTAAGGGCTCTGATTCCTTTCCAACGCTCTTAGAGCACACACAGAGTGACTGCTGGTGGGCAATCTAGTGCATTATCAGCTATTATTAAAATTCAGAGGGGACTAAGCTCCTTCTTTTGAGGAAATTTAGTTCACATAGGCCTTCCTTATCTGGATCTGCAAGCTAGCTAAAGTTTACTTGTCTAGGTCCAGTGTTTCGGGCCAACACTCTTTCAGGCCATTGAGAATTAAAATCATGGGGCTGGAGAGATGGCTCAGTGGTTGAGTACTGACTGCTCTTGCAGAGGACCCAGATTCGATTCCCAGCACCCACATGGTGGCTACAAACCATCCTTAACTCCAGTTCCAGGGGAATCCGACGCCTTCTTCTAACCTCCACGGCATTTTATGACATGGGTGCACTCACATACATGCAGGCAATACATTCATACACATAAAATAAAAATAATAAATAAAATATTAAAAAAACTCAGAGTGCTCAAAGGGAGCACACTCTAATAATTCATCTTAGTAAAAGCACACCCCATTTCCCAGGATTCCTATGCTCTGTAAGCCACTCTATTGCCATCATTGTATGTATTTTGCAACCACAGTGGCAGGCAGGGAAATACTCATGAAATCATGATCATACCAATTTTAATACAAAGATATCTCAAACTGAAGCACAATACTTGGAGGTTACACAGAGTCATAAAGAATCAGAAGCAATCCTTAAAAGTTAAGCCTAACAATCACTTTTGAAAGTAGGAACATTTTATAGCTAATAGCAACGACTGCAATTCTTAAGCAAAGGGGTTTTCTAAAATGTTTCCACAATAAGCTCTAAAAGGCTTAATGTTATTTAAGAAAACCAAAAATCCAGTTTTCATAATAGCAAAAGACTATATTATAGCGATAAAAGCATTTTGATTTCCAACAAAACACTGCTAACTATCTGTGTACATGGGAATACGCACTTATTTTCTGCTTCTTGCTCTACAAACAAAAAAAACACCTAGTGGAGTAAAAGAAATTTTGTTTGCATGTGAGTATGTAATTCCTCAAATTCATATATTTATTTCTTAGCACGTACTGTAACTCTGTTTAGATATAGGGCCTCTATGGAAACCAGGTTAAGTGAAGCCATAAGTATAGAGCCTTAATCCAATAGTATTTATGACCTTTTGAGAGGAAATTCTAGAAAGTTCCCATCTGCCATGGAAAAGCACAATGAGTAGCAACCTGTGGAAGCAAGGAAGAGAGCCCTCACTGGGACTGAGAACTGTGGACCCTGACCTGGGGGTTCACCGCAACTCTAAGTAACATAATTTTTGTCTGTTTAATCTACCCAGGATTTGGCATTTTTGTATTTGTAGCCCAAGATGACAAAGGTAATTGAATTAGTATTATCTCTGTGTTTCCAGCATCAAGGACACAGGTTTCTCAATAACAAGATTATGTCAGAAGGGCAGTCATTTATTTGTTCTTTAGAAAACTCACAGGTATGAGAAAAGGAAGGTCAATATTGGGAAAATAGCAGTACAAGATGCTGGAACCTTATAGATCAATGTCAGATGTATGTAATGGTTCTGTATGCATACTCATAAAAGGCTGAATGAATTTGAGCTTAAAACATAGCTTTTGCAACATGGTTTTGAGGGTTTGAATCTTGGCCTCGGTACTCACTGGCTGTGTTTCTACAGGAAAAACATTTAAGTCGTTAGGCTTCAGGTTATTTGTTGCTCAAATCGAGAAAATAATATATCAGTCTCAGTACTGTTATAGAACTACGTGAATCAATTATCTGATCTTAAAAACAGTGCTTGATGGAAAAGGCTTCATAGGGGTCCATTTTATGACTATTCGTAACCACATGGAGCTAGATACAGACAAATTGAGAGCTTTAATTAAGTTTTGGAGATGAAAAAAGAAAAAAACCTTGAGAACAGCTCTTGTCTACCCTCTGCACACACTCACACAGCTTGTACAATTTCCTGCTGTTTCACGACCCAGAAAAATTAAACTGTGTCACTAAAATCTCAGAGTTACTTTCAAACTTACTGGTCACTTATATGCGGAAGAACCCCTGACGATAATTAGGATATGGAACAAGAGAAAAGGGGAAAGGAGAAAAGGGAACTACAGAGCAGATCAAAACCAGAGTTATGAAAACAGACACTGCAATTGATTGACATATGGATGTGCTTGTTTGTCTATGATTCTCATGATTCTCCTACTATGACTCAGAAGAAAACAGTTCTTTCAAAATAATACTGATTCTCGTTTTGAAAACTTTTGTTTTCATATTTATATTCTTCATAGCAGAGCTTAGTTTCAAAAAACAAGTGATTGTGATAAGACTCTGTCAAGGTTCTCTTAAGAACAATCCAAACTTATGTGCTCTCTTAAAATTCAGCCCCCTGCCTCCTTTCTATTTAGGATTCACCTTTCCAGGGTAGCTCTCACTCCAGGTATCAAATTTTCTCTCAGAGGGAATTTTACCTTAGCAGAGATTCAGCCCTTGTCACAAAGGTAACAGTGGAAGCATTTCTCCATGGAAAAGAAGGACAACAGTCTGCCGGTGGGCATGATAAATCATATTTCAGTGCTTTGCTTTTTTGCTATGAGAGCATTCAGAACAATCCTCTGTCATCATTTCTATCCATCTTAAGGATGTTTCACCTGAAATATTCTCAAGTCATCAACGCAAATGACTGATGTTGTTTTTAGCAAGCTTTTGGTGCCCAAGAAATTTTATGTGTTGTCTTTGTAGGAATTTAAAGATATTACACCCCTAAATTATGTGTCATCAGTCCCTTTCCGTTTGATATGTGATTTGAAAGTGATATGAATTTAGAGCTGATCAAGTTGACCAATTACACGCCAGCTGCGATTGAAAAATGCAGCAAGTAACGTGTGAAAGAGTCATTTGCCGTGATAGTAGATGGAGAAAAAGGGCAGTTCTTATGGCTTTTTTAGACACAGCCAGTGGGACTAGAACTTAAAATCCCTTTTGTTCTTGAAAATTGACCTGATTTAACAGCGCCGAAATAGCTCAGTTGGGAGAGCATTAGACTGAAGAAAATTGACCCGATTTCACTGAATTTGTCAAAATCTGAGTAAGACTCAAGGAGAGATGAGGGAGCATTGTGAGAAAGGTGGTGAATCATTTATTTGCCTTTTAGCAAATGCCAAATTAGCAAAATGTACATTTAATAGCTTAAAATAAAAATAGACAAGTGATTGTACCTCAGAGGGCAGTCATGTTGTTAGTAGCTGCAAAGCCCTAGGATCAATCCCTTGCACCAATATTCAAAATCATAATAATATTAAACAAAAAGTTATATGGAAAACTAATAACAAAAACAAAGAAGCATCCAGAAAGAATTGGGGATCCATTTCCTCAGATGTCTGAGAAAGTTGTCATGTACGTGGCTAACAAACTTATGTTATAACTAGTTAAATTACTCTTTAAATTTCTGCTATTCATATCACATCTTATATATCTGTTTTGTCTAAATATAATTCAAAACTAAAATAATTATCTTATAACTAATTCTTCTGTGTTTCTACTTTCCCAATTCTAATACTTCATTAACTTAGGTAAATATATGCTAAGTGATGGTTGCTCATCATTAATGTTAGTACAAATATTAATCTATAGCAGATATTGCTCTTATAAGAATTTTTTCAGTGGAAGCAAACAAGCAGCCAGATTGACCCTGTGCAAATATTTTTATGTAGGGTATCTTTGATTATTTCACATGTGAACCTCTAGTCACATTCTATTTAATAGACCTGTCTAACAGGAACCAAGAAAAAAACCCTAAACATAGGATCCTTAGAAAAATACTACTCAGGTAGGCAATAATCAGCTACTAGTAAAGAGTCAATACCCAGATTCGAGGCACAGTGTGAGTGGGTTCTGTGGATAATGCATCCATTATATCCTCGCCCCCAACAAGAGGCAAACTATTGGAAAATCTGAAAGCACAAACTCAGGAAACAACAATGCAAACAGTTTCAAGGACCTCCAACCCCCATCTCAAATGAATATAGCACCCCCCCAAATAAAAATCATCAACTTTCCTTTCTTCAGTATAAAGATAATGGAATCCTAATTTATCAATCACTCTACAAATTATGTTAGTGGAAAATTCCTATCTACATTTGACTTCAAAGATAATTTGTATTTGTCTCCATTTTCCATTGTATAAAACCATTTCTGGTTTTCTAAAAAAAATCAGCTTTTAGTTAAAAAAAAAAGGAAGAAAGAATACTGAAATGAGACCAGCATCTGATTCACAGGATGAACGACTGACCCCTGGCTTCAAAACGAACAATGGTAATACCTAAAAAAGTTGACCCAACTTTGTTTTTATTTATTAAAGGAATCTCATTGCAAAGGAAAGCACACATGATTTATGTAGCACAGCAGAACTTTAATCCATAGCTCATGAAAAGGTGCAAGAGCAGCTTGAAAATTATGCTGAGCTTAATTATACTTAATGTGAATTATTCAGAAGTGCAGACAGAGACTAAAAATTTATTTCATACAAAGAAGCTTGACATTTTAATTGGTCCTTCAGAATAGAGACAAAACAATTTCCTCTCAAGAAAATTTACATCTTCCCTATCAGACACACAGCCTCAGCCAAGCAGAACTTCATTAACAAGATTAATCATGCCAGTGTGTCTGCTCTATCAGGTGTATGGCCCAGGTGAAAGGAGGAATATAGAGTAATGACTGACGTTTCGAACAGATACAACTGATCCAAGGAGGGAAACAATGACAGACTGAGCCACCATACCTTGGTCATTAGCCATTTTGTCAGGATGTTCCACTGTGGAGAGAAAAAGAAATAATTTTATTAGCTTTTGACAGTTCTTCACAAAAAAGCTGGTATATCAAGCCCAGAGTTCTGTGATTATTTACATTGTGTAAGTAGTCAAGGAGAAAAAAACACCCTGAAAATAATGTTCTTTTTATATTATTATCTTCTGAAATATATTTGTCACATTTTTTCTAAACATAAACTCAGAATGGCTTTGTGTAATTTTAATTAAATTGGGATAAATAATAAAACAAAATGGATGTAATTACCAAGTAATTATCACTTATCCATATTTTAAGTAAGTTCAGGGAGCTATTTATTTTTTGCTATTTTTTTAAACAAGAGAACATAGCCAATTTTTAGATGAACAGGCTAAAATAATGAGATATAATCAATATGGAATAACCATAATTATTTTATAAATTTTTAGGTCTAGTGAAGTGTGTATTAACTTGTTCAAAACTTCAAATGAGTTACAAATAATGCCCCAAGCTACTTTTTAAAATTAAAAAGTCTCTACAGTGCTTAAATTTGGCTTCTTTTTCTCTCTGTTTTTTTTAAATTTTATTTTACTTTATTTTATGTGCATGCGTGTATTGCCTGTATGTAGGTAACTGCAACCCATGTCGTGCAATGCCTGTGGAAGACAGAAGAGGCTGTCAGATCTCCTGGAACTGGAGTTATGGACAGTTGTTAGATGCCATGTGAGTGCTGGGATTTGAACCCAGGTCTTCTGCAAGAACAACCAGTGTTCTTAACTGCTGAGCCATCTCTCCAGCCTGGCTTCTTTAATCAGACGAAATTAAATACTTCTTGAATTTGTGTTATTTAATGTTACACAGAGATTTGTCAAAGGCGGTACTCTAGAACATCATCCTCTCTCTTTGTGTGGCAATCTCGTTGCAAATCAATTGTTGTTTGAATAAATAAACTAGAGCAAATACTAAAAGATGTTGGTCCTTCATTTTAAATTTATTATTATGGGTAATAGTAGCAGTGCTTATTATTATTATTATTATTACTATTATTTTCTGTGTGTGTGTGTGTGTGTGTGTACATGTCATGGTGCAGAAGAGGTCAGAGGACAACTTTCAGGAGTTGTCCCACCCTGGAACCCATGGTGGAAGGGTTCCAGGGACAGAATTCAGGTGTATCAGGCCTGTGTACCAAGTACCTTTACCCACACAGCTTTCTCAGCACCCGGAGACTTCCTTTTCAAAACAAAGGAGCAATAAAGAATCCACAAAACCAAAATGCTTAATTAATGATGGTCAATAAAAGTCCTCTTTCAGATAAACAGGTTTTAAATCATCATGGGACAGATTTCCAGACCAGAGATCTGTTATAATTGCTTTCATATTTTAAAACAATATGTCAATATATTCTATGAAAAGTTATCTTAATATGCCTTAGGATATAAATTTTCAATTTCTCTCTAGAAAATTATGTATATATGCTATACAAACACACACACACATACACACACACACATATATATATGATATATGTGTATAAATCAAGGTCTATAGTCTAATTTGTGTCTCCAATGTCCTTCAGGGTGGGTCTATCCACTGGAAAAGCCCACATTCTATCAATGCATCACATACACACACACACATATATATATGTGGTTACACATATATATATATATACTGGTTACTTTCTAAAAATAAACATTTTTTATTTAGACATGATAGATGAGCAAAACTGGCTCAAGTTTAATATACACAGCTCCTTGAGTTTGGGAATAGACTTTCCCAAATTTCTTATCATCTATTTTATTATTAGTATTATTGTTTTTAAGTTAATAACTAAATATAAGATCTAAATTATAGTTATGCTACACAGGATAGCTATCCACAGGAGTTGTACTACCCAGCAGATATATGGAGCTTGTTGATTTTGAGGTGTTTAAGTATTTAAGGTTCTGTCCTCTGGGCAGCTTAAAATGTGTTTTACAAATGTCTCTATAGTCTCAAAATTTTAAACTCTAAAGCTTAAAAAATTTACTTGTCTTTCTAATCTAATTTTTATTATCTAATCATAATTTAATTTTTATGTTAACTTTCTTCCCATTTCCAATTAATAATTAATGATGTTTCAAAATATTCGTATTATAGTATTGAGGGTTTGATGATGACATGCTTTTGACAGGTCATTGCACGAAATATCATCTATATAGAGAGTAACAGTAGTTTTAACAAAGGTCCTTATGCAGCTTTTGAAGAAGGACACTGGGTTTTCAGAACCACAATTCCAGACTTCCAGCAAGAAGGAAGTGAAATTTGTCAGGGACATGAGTAGGCACAATGCCTGGTGGTGGACGAGTATGGCAGTTGGAACACAGTCTTCAACATGTCCTAATCAAGCACCTTATATCTAGTGTAGAACTATTTGAAATGGTATCAAAAGAGGAAAATGAGAGAGAGAAGGAAGCTAAGTGTACCTCAACTTCATCCTTTGATTTTCTCTTTATTGCTAATCATATTACATGCGTTACCTGAAGCCTAAGCTATTGTTAGTAAGTGACAAATAAATATCTTATGTCTTCTATTTTTTCTTTTCTGTTAGAGTAGCACGGAATGTTAAAAAATAATTGCTGACTGAAGAGAATTTCCCAAAAGAGACCAAATGAATTTCAATAGCTATCTTCTATCAAAGACTTGTGGTTTGTGATTTGAATTGTCAATTTTTCATGTCATGTCATAAAAAATCATGTATTTCATCAAAATATAATTTGAACCATTTTCCCATACACTAGCATGCTGCTTTCAGTGTATTTTATTTTTAATGGAGGAGAGGCACATTTTGACCTATCAGTTAAGGATGTCCAGAGAATAGATAATTTTGTGTTGAGCATTCACTGCTGAACAGTCTGCTCCTTTGGGTATAGGAAATGACTGTCTCCTGCTATAGAAACTTTCTGTGGCCTGCTACATTGAATGTATCCTTCCTCCCTATCACATATTGGCAAACAAGAAATGTAAAATTTCCTGGAGAGAACACACTTAGATTCCAATGTGAGCAGTGTGAGAGTTTCTAGTTGGGAGTCTGGAAAGCAAATGGGGAAGGCAGGTAGGTATTTGTAAACCTCTATGTGGTCAGAGAATCAAATTCAATCTTATTATAATAAAAATTCAAAAGAACTAACTAGATTCATTCATATATACATATATATGAATGTGTATGCTAATATAATACTTCCTATTTATAAATGTCCTTTAAATTAACCAGTGTTTACTGATCATATCTCCTAAACCTCTCTGGTTAACTTCTTCCACCAAAAAGACAAATTTCTAATCTCAAGTATAAAATACTGCTATTTTTGCAAAGCCTAAATATGAAGGAATGAGGTTTGTGCACACCTGGCTGGAGGATGATTTACGATGAAACATTTACCCATTAGCCAGTAGACTACTAGAATTTTCTTCAGCTTCAGGAAAACATCTAAACCTTTCTCTCTGTCAAACAAGGTTACATACTGAACAGAGGTCTTATGCTTTGAAGCAGCTTTGAAAAGAGAAAGTATTAAATTAGAGCAAATGCATGGTTTTCCTCTCTTTGGTGTAAATGTGGTTCATTGTGACTTTACATCTGTTATGATGAATGTTGATTGTAAAATACTTGTCATTAAAAGTTACATGCAAGATACATAACTGTAAAATTTCAGTTTTTGATAAAGATGGTCATATCAGCATTTTATGGGTAATTTAAAATACAGCCAAGGAACAAAATCATATGAACAAAATTAAATTGATTTACAAATCTGTTGTTGAGTATGACATCAAATCAGGCTTTTAAAAATAATTCTCATGGAGCAAGAATTGTTGGCCTTGACTTTAATGTACAAAAATCAGTTAACAGATGATTTTAGAACACTTAAGGTAAACAATAACAAACTGCATGTTAACTTCATTAAACAACCTAAAGGATGGCTATCAGGTCTGTATGTCCTGTGATTATTCATTTCTCTGTTGTTTAAAATATTCGGATTTCTTAAATCACTTTAACCCCTCTGTGATCTCTCTCAGTTGGCATACATTGTTGAGCCCAGAATTAATGTGGCACCTGCCATTGGATAAAGATGAAGCTGACCATTCTATTGAAGCTTTTGCAAAATGCTGTCTAGATACATTTCATGCTTCCAACAAAATGAACAACGAGCTACCTCTGGATTGTTCACTTGGCGTGAAACCCGAATAGACACAAAGTCCTCAACGTTTGGACAAAGATTAGCTCATTTATTCTCCACTTCCCTCCTCACCTCTACTCTGACATGAAGAACTGTCATGCAGAGTTAGGATGAATGCTTGCTTGTCTAATTTTGGCAAATTTTCACATTAGCTGGTAGGAAAATCCTGCTTTTGAATAGCCTACTCATGAGACTTCAATGTCCACCATTTTATTAGCATACCTCTCTAAATGAATTGAGAAATCAATGATACAGCTGTGCTGTAGCTCTTCTTTAAGCATGTCAAACGAATGGGTAAAATGTCAGTCATGAATGCCTAATGTCTTATTCGTTTGTGATGATGCATCATCATGTTTTCTACATGACATACAAACACAATGTAGTTAGAAATTTAAGGCTCAATATGTCTCTCTTACTGTAAAACAGTGCACACAATGCAGTAAAAATATATATTTAAATGTTAGTTATGGGATGTGAAAATTATTTTCCAACATTAATGCATGCTCTTTTAAACATGTGTCCTGTAGAAAAATAAAACTGCTTAAAAACAGTAAGGATTTTCATGAACACTATTTTCATATAATCATTCCTCTTGGCCTCAGTATTTTCTAAATGGCATTTTCCTATGTTGAAATAGAGTAGTTATTTATATTCTTACAGGAATGTGGGGCTTTCTTCTAGTAATAATATTACAAGAGTTTTTAAAATGTTTTTCCACTTTGGGTTCTCTGTAACTGTATTCACTTTGTTTTAAATCTGTTGTTTTACTATGTTAAAATTTCCTTTAATATATAAGAATGATAGTTCTTGATGGAAAATAAAGTTGCGACAGTGGGTCATCCACATTATTCATTGTAATTTATATTTTTATTTCCTTATATAAAAGGCCAAAGATTCATTATACCTCAAATAAAAACAATATACATGAAATCAATACAGAATCAATACAGAATGATTGTATATAAAAAGTCAAATTAAATATGTCTGTCTTTTTGATGGTATAAACATATGATAATACAATATATCTTTTTTTGACACATTGGCTTTGAGTATAAAAGTCACATTCATTTTTTGCCTAAAGAAATAGTGTGTGGCTATTTTTAGCACAGATTGTGAAATTATTCTATGACTATCCCAGAAGAAAGGAAAGTTGTAACAGGAAGCTGTTAGTACCTTTCAGAGTCCTGAAGAGGATGGGATCAGAGAGGGGCCCCACTCCTTTTGCATTCCGTGCTTGAATTCGAAAGTAATACATGGTGTCAAGGTTCAGGTCCATGATTTGATGGGTAAGTCGATCGCCACTGATGGTTTCCATAATCCAGTCATCTATTGGTATGTTCTTGTCCATGGTATAAAACAAGATGTAAGCTGCATAATAAATGTAACTTTCTTTAATTTATAGAATGAATGTTGTAATTCTCCTTTCAGATGCCCATATGTAACAAAAATAATTTTCAATGATCATTGTATGTCCACAGTCAATAAACTACAGTGTTCATTTTTGCAGGCAATGATATTTTTAATATTTCAAGGATTAGATAAATAATTGATTCAATGTATGGAATCAGAAAATGGAGTAGGCCATTAGAAATATAACTATCTGCCATATTTAAAAGTGGGTGTTTTTGCTAATGATGAATCCTGATTATTGGTTTTCCCTAATATATAAACATGATGAAAATGTAAAATAGAGATAGCACGTCTGTATAATTTTCACTGTAGTCCAATAATGAAAATAAGTAATGATTACTTTGGCTTGGGCTTACATAATAAAGACATATTGGAAAGTTTAAAATGCTATATATGAGCAGAGTGTTATAGAAATGAATGCTCACATTTTGCCACCGAGGTGGCTCTGTAATTGGCAGGGGCTGTGTTGGACTCCTTTCATAAACAATGAAGCTGAGAGTGACCTAAGCTGGTTGGTAAAAAAGCTAGAATGAAGTTTTCTACCACCTTACTAAAATTCTAGCATTATTTCCCCTACTCAAGCCTAGGTAGACAAATAAATGTCACTGAACTACAGGTGATTTAGTTATTATCTAAAATATTTTGAGATATCATTTAATGGCATAATTTTTTTGTGCTAGAGAATGGTACTCAAATGGTATTAGCACACACTCATGGTAATCTAATTGGTATACGCACTTAAAAAGCAAGATATTTTATAACATATGCATACTAGGTCTTTGCTAATTTGTGTGTTTACACTGGTTTAAAAGTATCACTTTTTAAAACTTTTGCAAAAACTTTATGGGGAATTTCATACATACATATAAGGTGTTTTGATGAAATCCATGCCCACTCCCTCCCTTCCAACACCTCACATATCTCCCCATCACTTTTTTCTTTTTCTTTTCTTTTTTTCTTCTTTCATTTATTTTTTAAAATTTTTAATTACTTTTATTTTTAGTTTATAATTATTTATTTCATAACCAAATGATTAGAAGAGGTATTTCAGTGCAACAACATTGACATATTCAATAACAATTTCCGGAGCTAAGATGCTTCTCTTTCAAAATTGGCTGTCATTTTTAGGTTTATAGTTGAATTATTAGTTACACAATATTGTACTCCGTATAAACCCTATAAGACATAAAACTAAATGAGGTTTTAACCTTTAAAAGAGATCTCCGTTTCATTATTAAAATACACAGTTTCATACAGTAAAATTCATTTTTAATACAATTGACACTAAGATGCACATGCGTTTTAATCTTTATACTTTTGAGGTTTTTGGCCTTTGGAACAGAGTATGTTGCTAACAGTCCCAAGGACATTTTGACTTTTAGACTAGAAACTGGCTACTTTTCTTTGGGGTCTTTTTACCCTAATTGCCTAGCCAATTCCTATCTCTTATTCTTACTACACCATCCTCTGAAGGGTTTACCCAAATTGCCAATAGGGAATAGGGACACAGACTGCTCTGGCTTCTTCCATGCTGAACAAGGTCACAGGGTGAGGCAATTGGAGTACCCCTTCAGTGGGTCTATCTAAAAGATTCCCAAATTGCATAACTCTTAATCTCTAAGAGGAAAAGAAAGTCCTTGAATTGTGACTAGGAGATGTGAAGGAGTAGTGAAGGCAAGAGTAATTAGCATTACAAGTTCTAGACAGGGAACTAAAAAAAAGTCAGAACAGGCAATTTTCAAACATTCATATGAGAGTCCATTGGATTTTCTTGACAAGAGCTTCCAAAAGCATCCCTCTATTGGGTTCCTCCTCAGTTTTCTTTTGTCTGCCAAGAATGGACTCTAGAGTGGTGGATTCAGGATTTGCTTTCAGGCATTTTGATAGCTGTTGGAGTGGTTAGAATCAGGGTCAGTTCCCTCTCAAAGGCTTCCAGATAGGTGGAGGAAACAAATTTATCCATCATTTTAGAACAATAGCTGGCTGTCTCCCTTAGCTACAGGTGGGCACTACAGTGTTGTAGACCAAGATTTGAAGTCTTATATCTGAGCAACACTTTCTGGTTAGGAACAAAATAATCAATGAGAAATAATTGTCTAAATAACTTTTTATATAGACTTAAGCCTAATGTCTGGGAAATTTATTCCCTTGAACTCTTAAAGAAGTATACTGATGACTTTACTCTTTGGTTGTACTTTCCTTTTGGGTGTTTAAGACCATACAGTTGGCCCAAATAAATCAATTTATTCTTTTATACTTAAGGTCATTGGAGGATCTCTTCCTCAGGGGTCACATGGACTTGGGAGGAGCTCCTGGCTCCTTTCTTTTACCAGTTCCATCTATGTGAAGATAAGTCAAAGGTCCTGTTCGATCATGTCTGCCTTCACTTGGAAGCATGAATGAGATGTTTCCTCTAAATTGACCCTCCTCTTTGTAGAGTGGACACTGGTTAAAGTCCATTTCGTGGGGTCTCCATGTCCTCCCTAAACAAGAGGACAGGTGACTCACCACATTTACAGGACATTTTGAGAGAGGTTCCACACTCCCCTGGAACTTGGTCGACCTTGGAGGGCAAGGGGCAAAAACTGTTCTTTAAGTCTCTCTGACCACATTTAGTATAGGCCTCAAACAATGGCTGGTAAACATCCAATAAGGTTAGTTCCACCAGTCTGATACTTTTAATTATCATGTGCTATATAGACAAGGCTTGGGTAAAGAACCAAATATTCTCAGATAAACATTGACTAGATTTATATTTTGTTTCTTAAACTAGTTGACTAAACTATGACATTAGAAATTTTAAGATAATGCATCTATTATTTTTGTCTCATCCTTTATATATAACAAACCTAAACAGACCTTCAGCATTTGCTTAGGCTGAAAAGTATCAGTATTTTTATATTACATTACCAGATGAAGCTCTAAAGGGCTAATATTGTATATTTTTGTTCTATGAGGATGGTTTTAACCTTTAATTCTCTCAAAATTCTATAGTGATAATTATATCAAACAGGCTACAATGTACCCATTTATACTTATATATTTCAAATATCTTTGTAAATTAATTTCTTATTTTTTATAAGTCTCATTATAGATAGAGATATAGATCGATTGATTGATAGTCCATAGTGTTGTGTTACATAAGTATATGAAAATCATTTTTATTTAAAAATTTTTCTATAGGAGCTCAGCAGTTAAGAGCACTGGCTATACTTGTGGAAGGCCCTGGATTGTGTTTCCAGCTCCCACATGGCAACTAACTGGCTTTAACTCCAGTTCCAGAGACTCCAATGCCCTCTTCTGATATCTGGCAACATTGATTGCATGATGCATGATACATGTGCAGCTACATAGGTTCCAGCAAAGTACTCATACACATAAAACATATGATGAATAAAATTTAAAATTTTTCTTTCACTTAATTAGTCATTTCTTTCCACTTGTGTCCATCTTGTCTCTATTTGACTGGAAACTGTCAGTAGCAGATTTCTGCCATGGTTAATTCAGAGTTCTCTGCCTCCCTGCATAGTCACACCCCATTCTATCTTCCCTTACTTCCTATTCCAAATTATACTCACCCACCAAAGCCTAGCTTAAGGGGCTTCTGACATACAAAATCTTCCTTAATCATGAGCTTACTTTATGTAAGTCTTATATTTGGCTATTGGAAAGCATTTATGGTTCCGTATCACTAATCACAGGGTCTTACAGAATTGCATATGGGCTCTGAACTGGATTTTCTTCCTTATAGATCTGTAGAATTAAGCAATGTAACAAAATCCAATGTTAAGAATCCCAGTTCACTAAGGACCGGTACTTAAAACTTGAATCTATTTTGTCATAATCTTCACCTTTTCTTTGTTTGTATTTCCCAAACCTGTCTATCATAGTAATGACCTGAAGAATGCATACAAATTATAAAAATAGACCCTAAGGCTGGCTTTTCTGATTTAATACTAATTCTTTGGTTAACAGTCTTTGAAGAAGCAGTTATCCTTCCCTCTCATGTTCATACCTTTGTATAATGCTTTTCAGCTGAGCTTAGACAAATTCTACTGGGTGGTCTTGCTTCCAACAAGCATAATACAGAAGTGACACAATAGTTCTTTCAGTATTAAGTCAGGTAAGATTATGATCTCTGTTTTGCTAAGACTCCATAGAGGAGAGGTCCTCTGTTTTCTCTGTGGGTTTCATAAAGGGATATACCCAGTGGAGATGACCAGATGGCAGGAAGTGAGGGTGATTTCTGGCCAATAGTCAATGAGGAAATAAATCCTCCTGATAGTCACACACAATGAAAAACCAATATTTTTCATCTTAGCTGATATCTTGATTTATAGCCTTGTGAGAGACCCTAAGAAGGAGAATTTAAGAGATTCCAGACACACAGAAACATGATAACAGATTATATGTTGTTTTATGCTATTAATATGCAGTAATAGTACTATCAGAACTAGAAGGGATAAGGATAGCTTCCATAATCTTGACCCCAAATGATTTCCATGAACAACCAAGGTCAGGAAGCAATGCTTTAGTACACCTGTGGGATTTTTATACTTTTGGGCATTTGTTGTCATGTCAATAAGAAAGTCTTTACATGTTGAGAGTTCCAGAGATGATGAAAGATTTGTTTTAATAAAGAATAACACAAATGTGAAAATTTAAAGAGTCGTTCTTCTCTAACTATTAAAATTGGAAGACTATAGTACAAAAGGGTATCATATTAAAAAGTTACTTTTTTCATGGACAACTGTTCATTTACTACTGTCTCCATCTTAAACATTAATAAAATGTTCTCATATTTTTGACCCAAATCACTATCCCTAAGAACTGTATTCAATGAAAAGAAGACACTGGTACTGGCAAGGTTTCTTAAAATATTTTATTATGTCAATTTCTTATCTTTTCCAAAGGATGGAAACATTTCTTTAGTTCAGGGGTCATATCTTATATTACAT